ATTGCTTTGACCGCTTAAAATAACGTGTATATAAACTCTTCTCGCAATAACTTGTCATTGCAATAAAAAATATGCCAAAATTATTAAATTGTGCTTGTGAGGATCAACGCGATTGTCTCACACTTTCCCTTCACACACATGACATCTAATTGAAAAGCGCAAGAAAAGTCATCAAAACGCACCGCAGCGTGTTCATATGTAATTGTTGTAATTATTGTTGAACACATCCGCTCTCTCTCTCTCTCTCTCTCTCTCTCTCTCGTATGCGACTCTGTTCACTAATGCATTCATCAGCATTTGTATATTTCCTAATATTCCATTTTGCATATAAATATATGTTGGTCGTCCTCAGGGAAAAAATTCGTATATTTCATGCACACATTTCTGCGCTTAGCTTAATTAATAAACATAAAATTTAATAAATAAATCCAAATAAAAAAATTATGATTTATGATATCGAGAGATCTGGATTTTGGCAACTAAACGTATAAATAATGAGCATTTACGAAAGCGATAAATCATAGGAAATCGTTAAAGGAAGCCTTTCAAAAACGCACGATACGACACACCTGAAAATTATTATTTTATGTTCTTTTTATATCATTGTTTTCCCATTCAATACATAAAAGATTATCTTCTAACTTCATTCGCGATTTATTTTAGAATTTTCTTGCAATAAAAATATTTTCAAATTATTTACTCGCAATTGTTTTCATGTGCAAGGAACATTTGAGGCCTTCGCTAGTGTGGGACTTGCACTCACGAAAATCCCCTCACACGTATGGCGATAGTCCCGGAACTACCGGTTAGTATTACGTTGGGACAACTACCTGACCCTTAACTCAATTCGTCTGTTTTAAAGTCAATGTCCTTAGTCTACTGCGAGCGCATTCCGACCTTCGCAACTTGGTCATTACGATCACACAGGCCTCTATCTTTAATACCCTGCTGCCGACGAGGCACTGTGGGTTAGATCGCTCGCCAATAATAGCTTCAATTTTGCTCCCTGCATATTGGAAACGTAGGCAGTCCAGCAAGGCATGTTTAATATTTCCTCTACGCTACGACAGTGAGCACAGGGAAGGTCATTATACTGATCGTATTTATCGTGGAGATATTGCCGTAAGCAGCCATGACCGCTAACCATTTGCATCAAAAAGTGGTCAGTGCTAACTTTCTGTCTTGTTAACATTATTTTCATAGCATTTAAGAGTCCTTGCGTCATGCGCTTCTGTATAGACTTGTCCTATCTCCACTGACATGTACCTTTACTGTCTTCTGCAAAGTGCTTCCTTCCAAGCTGCCGTTTTGCATTCTACAATTTTGTTACTTGTCTGGCCAATATATATGACGTTATCTTGCCTGAGATGACGCACGGTACGCGAGCTACGCCCTTGTACTGGTATCGCATACATTATAACTTCTCCTTTCCCTTGCGCCTTCGGTATACCTGTCCAGCTTTATCGCTTACGGCATTGATGTGTGTTAAAAACGAATCTCTAACCCTTACGAGTTTTATTTTTGGCGTGCTGTATACTTCATTGTTGTCTATATTTAACATGACTGTTCCTTTCCTTTTTCTCCTGGTTACCTAAACCGCATAGTTTCTACTCATAATGATGTTTGGCTACAGAAACGATAGCCAGCATATTCTATTATCTTAACTCCGCTTGGTACCGGTAGCGTTAGTAACTTATCATACAGAATATTCCAAAGAACTGGCTGAAGTATGGAGTCTTGTGGAACGCCAGCCGTCACGTTGCATGTTCTAACGCCTGTTTCCGCTCCATAAAGCAGCAGCCAATCAGATAAGTAGCTGGTCATAATGCACATCAGATACAGCGGTACAAGTAAATATTGTATATGTGCTCAGCTAGCCGCGTTAAAGGCATCCTCGATGTCTAGAGTGACTAGAGCATGATACTTTTTGGAGCTTTTTATAGTGTCTTCGACAAGAGTTTTCATCTAGATTATAGCATCGACAGTTGGTCGCCCCCTTTGAAGCCTTTACTGATTATTCGAGATTTTGTTTATTTGTCCGATATAATCCTATGGATGTCTGCAAATGATTTGCTTCGGCAGATTCCCTAATCATACAGAAGGAGCGGCACGGGTTTGGTTTATCAGCTGTTAGACTTTGATAGCAGCAACAACTTTTGCTTTTTCCATGTTTTCCAAGTTAGAGATATGGGTGGGAGCTTTCTGCTATGGTCAGTTTTGGGACTTTGTTTAAAATGCCGTCCGGATATGCCGGTATTTTGTTTCTTGGAGCGATGTCTTTGCAAGGGTAATTTGAGCCACATGTACCCGTTTCACGGACAACATGCTTCGGAAAGAAGCTTTCTATTACATTTCTCACGAACTCTGGAGAAGCCGGTACTTCTTGTCTGATGTACTGTAGTTTAGCCATTATGCGTGTGTATGTGTGTGTGTGTGTGGCTGTGTGCGGATAACAAAAAAATGAGAAATATATATATTGAAACTGTCATTAAGTGTTCAGCGAAAAGGTCAGTTAAATGCAACTCCGTTTTCTTTCTTTTTTCTTTTTTTTCCTCCCTTAATACTCGGAAATATATTCATTCGCCTTAATATTTGTTGCAAAGAGAATTGCAGAAAAGTTTCATTTATTATATTAATTATAATATAATGCATATACATAAAATGTCGCAACTGCAAAGGCACAAACAACAAATAGAAATGATGAGGGAAAAAGAGAAATTCCTAATTAAATGTTAATCACACGCCATGTTGAGCTATTTTTATTTCGTAATCTTTAGTGAATTAAAAGCATAAAGCGAACCGAAAACGGTTAAAAGAAGCAAAAAAAATAAATAAATAAACAAAAAAATAAACCACAATGTTCAATTTGTTTTTATATTTTTACGCTTGAGCTATCTAAAACCACGAAGTTACAAAAAAGCGGAAAAAAACAAGTGTTGCAACGAATCTTAGATACATCGTGAGAGCCTTAACATTGTTTCTAATTTCGGGCTCACATGGCCAGCTCGCTTGAATTGCGAAGCAAAGTTAATGTAAATCATGTACTTGTACACTTATTAGTTGCCATGAAGACGAGAAATATTAGCCGGCTTTTGAGTGACTATTTTTGCTTATTGGTCTTCTTTCCTTGGATAGTCCGCAATATTGAAATGCCCGCTGACGAACGATTTCAGAGAGCACAAGTTGAGTTGTGAATACGAAATATAAGATAAAAAAGCGAGAAAACAAGATAAACAAGAAGAGAAGTGAATAAGTAAAGTTTAATGCATATCGGCAAACAGCAAATTGTAATGAAAATGTGCCGTATTTAAGCCGCACATCAAGGGATCGTTGCTTTCCTTCTTTCGTTTTTCAATTGTGTCGGGTTTTTCTGTTGTCGGATTTTACCAGCTCATCGGAGGCAATTAACTTTCAATTTTTTTTCTTCAACACTTGCAGAAGTTTAACATCCAGAATCGTCTAGATTTGATATATCGTCGTAGACGTTGTAACCGGATGCACAAGCTTTATATAATTCCGCAAAAAAGCTGACTCTACAAAAATTCTCTTTATTCTAAATTATAAAATAATACAAGTATGACTATTCAGTTCAACTGCTTAGAGAAAAACATTCGTACTCGCAGTAATTGGAAAGTATGAGCGAATAAATGTTGTTAAAACGAAATAACTATTAACTAAAGCTCATAATAGTGAAAAGCATACTTATAAAGAGACATATTAAATGCGTTGTAGATAGTGTTTTAAACGAAATAAATAGGACTAGAATAAGTGCACATTGTAACCACGCTCTCTACACGCTTCCATTTACTCTCTTTTGAAAGAAAATTGAATTGAAGAAATTGATTGCAAAAAGTATCAGAAATTAATTCCGAGTATTCGTTTTAGAAACGAATGCTTATGACGTTTGTACACATTTATGAAAATTTGTACGCATCACAAACCAACCAAAGCAAAAAGAAAAACAAGCGCTCATACAAACCACACAAAGTCTTAATTAAAGTCCACAAATTGAACATAAGAGCGTTTGTAATACGTTATATTCACGTGATCACAGTACACACCTAAAGAGGTTATACAGTTTAAAGTCAGGTAAAGTCTAAATGAAAATACCTTACACCACTTCGACAAACACCCTTCGTTTACTATTTTCTGTCGCAAAGTGCTGAAAATTACATTGGATTTCTATATAAAGACTTACTTTTCACAAGGCTATGTTTATATGGAAAGTGATATAAATGCTTATATATCGTAAGAATTTTTATAAGCGCGGTGCGTGACGGTAAAATGCTTCCATTCCCTTTTCCGTTCAAATGTTTCTTATTCATTTAAATTGGCATTACTGGACTTTTTTCATATATCGACAGTTTCAAAAATTGACTTTCTGTGCGGAATGATCGACTGAATTTTTATGCCAAATCCCATTAAAATATTTCGAAAAACACGAATCAAAAATACTTTTCCTGGGTACTGTATACAATTGAACAAACTTAATATACGTTTATTATGACGAGTGTAGAATATCTTAAGTGAGAGAAGCGTTAAAAACTCGAAAATAAAAAAAATAAAAAAACTTATAAACCGATGAAAGCGTGATATTAGAGAAGAAATTTTTCAGCCAATAAACTATATTTAGCACATGTAAGTTTGTGGTAACAAGTTTCTTGAACAGGTTCATTAGATCGTTTAAATTTATTAAGTGGAAGCGTTTACGATATTATTACATGGTATAGTAATTGTTCCGTTATGACATGATCCTATATTCATTCAATATATATATACATCGGTGCATCTCCTCTCTCTTCCTTTATTCGGAGAAAATAGATTAGGTTTTTTTTGTCTGCGTAACTTTGGCCGTCATGTACAATCGTTATTATATACACATACGCAATAGAATATATTCGGTATACATAGCCATTATTCGAATTTAATTCCATAATAACAATTTTCTTTAATATAATAATTTTATATGCATTTGTTTTCTTCTTCTTTTTAATTTGCAGTTATATGAATCTTTTAAAAAAAAGAGAAGGATGTTATTACGGGATAAAGAACAGAAGATAAAATGTAGTTAAAGTACGGAAACGTTTTTATGCCTATAAACTGATAATGTTGCAAGGAAAAAAGAAAAAATTACTCGTAACAACAATAAAGTGAATTAAACAGAAGCAAAGTAAAGAAGAGAAAAGTGACGAAACAAAAAGGAAAAGTAAAGAAACCAAAAAAAACAAACAAGAAAAGGAAAAAGAAAGAGAAGAAAAGAAACGAAACGAAAAGAAAAGAAGACAAGAGAACAGAATAAAATAGAAGCGAGCAAAATAAATATTATAAAAAGTTGTAATTAATATATTTGTTGTATTGCCGTTTTATTGGAACGCGCATATAAATTATTATGAATAAAAAGCCACCTTTGCCTTTAACGGCATTTATAGGTGGTGCTACAGCGCAACCGAATGCCTCTAGTGTAACGACCGTGAATAGTGGCAATAATAATAATAGCGCGACAGTAGCAGCCGTGGCAACACCAACCTCCATGTGCTTTTCAACGACTGCCAAAACAGACAAACAACGCGACCATAATTCTGCTCAAACCGAAGTCAGTGGTTTGTGTGGCTGCCATAAGGCGCCTAAATCACATTGTATATCGGCTATAGGTATGTTATTTGTCTTTCCCTCCTTCCCTATCTCCCTCTCTCTCTCTCTCTCTCTCTCTCTCTCTCTCTCTCTCTTTCTTTCTTTCTTTCTATTAAGAAATTTATATCGCAATTACTGATATATTGGATCGAATAAACTTTTTATTATTGTGTGCCTTAGATTAAAAAAAGAAAAAACAAGAGAAAAAAAACAAAAAAACACTGTTTTATGATAATTTTTTTTTATTATTTTTGTATTTTTTGTTGACAGGAGTTTTATTATTAGTGCTTCTATATACAGCCTTGGGCTCCATAATATTTGTAACGCTTGAAGGCGAACTTGAAGATATAAGCTCTTTGGAGACGGCTGTAGCTGCTTCGAAGCCTTATCCACGCAACGAGTTGGCAAATGCGGAAATCAGATCGAGGTAAGTGGTCCGTGACTGGGGTTACGGAGGGTGGCAAATCTAGAAGAAGAGAAGAAAAGAAATGAAAAAAAAAAAAAAAAAAACATAAAATGTAAAACATAAAACATAATCACTCTAGAAAAAACAGACAAAATAATATACTTTTTGGGGTTGAGAGGTTATTACCGAAGGGCATTTATTTGCGTTGCTGTTGTTACCGTAGTTATTGTAGTTGCTGTCGTTGTTATAACACATGCACGCTAAGTACTTGCGCAAACATATTTGATGTTAGTTTCAGCACTTTTTCTCTCAAAACCTATGGACCCTTTTCTTTCCCCCCTTTTGATAACTTGAAGCATTTTTAAACGCAACAGCAAAAGTGTTCCAATATATATATATATATATATATATATATGTATATATATATACATTTTCTGTTATTTAATTTCTTCTCTATTTGAATTGAATTATTTTGATTGTATTAGAGAATATGATCCGCTATTAAATTTATTTGGAAAATCATTGCGAACTCTATCGGTAATAATTAAAACGAATCAGCTGCATTTGCATAATATGTTCATGAAGTATTTTGTGCTCGAAAACGTTTTCGAAATATATGCGAATAAAGCGATAAAGTAATACTCAATACAATTATATAATATTATTATAATGAAAAGAAAAAAAAAATTTTATGTTGGTTTTATGACGAGTCTCTGATGCCCCCTTTACCTTGTCATATCAATACATAAAAATTGTAAATGAATTGAAGCTGATAAATTGCGCAGGTTGCTTGATGGAGGTTCTGACCCCTTTTGGTTACAAGTATGGATTATGCTCACGAAATAGAGGCTTGATAAAGAGATCTATTGCCGTAGACGGAATGAAACTATGACTTCCTTATCTGAAAGTATATATATCTTTAAGCTTTAGTCGGAACAGTATGAGGCATTCTGGTGAAGACTAGCCAGCGTAGTTTTTCAGAGCTGTGAACAGATCAAGTTCTGCGCCATATAAACACCGTTGACGGGAAACTTTACTTGTTGTGTCTAATTCGAAGAAAATTGTTGCTAAATTGTGAAAGGTGGTGAACAATGGATGCGTTGTGATATGACCCATTTTCTTTGAAAATGGTGTAAGTGTATTTTATTTTATTTGAAGGTATTTGAGGTTTTTGCACTTGAATTATTTGAAAACTATGGATATATTGTTACGAAAATCCCAAATTCAGTTAGTGTCAGCTAAGTAATTTTCGTAATAATAAATTCCCAAATGAGCATTTGCAGGTGCCTCATGCAGCTGCAGGCTGATGAAAACGATTAGCGGGAAAGCAGACAAGTAAAAGCTAAGTGCACATTCGCAGGCGCGTCATGTATCTGCAGGCCGATAAAAACGATTAAAGGAAAACCAGGCTGGGATTAGAAATAAAACCATAAATTTAGGTATAGTAAGATGCTTGTAAAATTGTATGTAAATCGAATATTTGTGAAAAGTAGAGTTAGTCGGGCAAGAACGTAGAAGTTGAGAGTACGGCCAAAATAAATTGAAAATAAATATTCCTACTGTTGTGAAAGACAAAGTAGTAAAATAAAAGAACTTTGAAATGTATTTCTCTTGATCAAAATATCCACGATCCAGTGATACGGACTGTTGCTTAGTAAAGGCGAATTTCATAACAATATGTTATTAAATTTGTAATCATTTTTTTAGTGCGATTAACAAAAACTTGTACCTTTAATGACTTCAAAAGGAGTTTCAGCGCTTTTAAAATCAACAAAAAGTAAATATATATATATATACATTTACAAAATATTAACTACGGAATCTCCTTTTATCAAATTCTTAGTATTAATAAATTTTAACTTTTTTCATTATGATTAAAATTTTGAGAATAATTATGATGTGTTGGAGGGATATATGGTAATAAAGCAATCATATCAGTAAATTTCTCGAATGTGACGGGTCTGGAATGATGATGTAAACGTGTTAGTACAATATTTCCAAAGTTCTGTGATCTTCCCCGTGAGGGCAATAAATTTGGTGATTTAAAATCCTTACTCTCACGAAATGAAGTTTTGACATTAAAAAATTGCATATAGTTAGCCAACATATCTATGACCAATTTACTTCTTGACCATTGAGATTTTTTCGACTTTTTAGAATTGCATCTTTTAAGGCTTTTGTAGAAACAAAATCAACTTGTTTTTATATTTTCGGGATTACACCATTTTCAAAGTAATTATAATTGCAGCTTCATTAACTACGAAAATTTGTAATGATAAAAACAATGAAAATTTGGACAGATTTTTTTGGAAAAAGTTTATGTATGAAAAGTTCATAGTAAATTGTCTTCATTTTTATCATTAACTAATTTGTTGTTAAAATGGGCCTACAATAAAGTACAAATAACCATCACGCACACTACAGGTGGTGAAATTTGGCTGACAATGGTACGCCTTATTGGCAGAGTCTTAGTTGGGCGCAGCGAGAGCTCTGTGAGCTGTTCTATCCAAACAAAACTATCTTTACGGTATGCTATTAACAACAACTGTTGTAATTAAGCCGTAAGTCCCAGGGTAAGTAAGGGGTAGCATGCCAAAACGCGCAATACGATGATGTTTCACCATAATGACCCATGCACCCGTAAGGCGCAACAGGTTTAGCAAACACTGCCTCGGTTTATTCGTTAGACACTAACATTTATAATTGATACTGGCTTCAACCGACGACCTGCTGTCTGTTCGCGTATGGGTTGAATATTTAAGGACGAGGCAAAGTGCATTTTCTTGAAATAAACGTCTTTAATAAAAAAAAGAAGCCAAATGTCATATTCTGACAGGCAGTATGTGAAAGTTGAGCTTTGTGTTTGGAGCCTTTGCGATCGTAAGGATTATAACCGCAAACGTTGATCTCGAGTGCACGTACCTCTGCGGAGTTTCCGATGCGTTCTTTTGGGCGTTATAAAAGCAACGACAATTTGGATATATGTCCGTCTTTCTGGGGCGGACATGCGAATATTATACTGCTACGAAGACGTTACGTGTTGAAGGCTGAATTGGAAATATATTTTTCATGCACGTACCTCTAACATACGTTTCTCATATTTTGAGTTTTAGTTTTCGCTCTCTTTGCAAACTGCTGCAGAAGATTTTCTTAAGTGTATGTACTTCTTCTCATTCTCCCTTTACATGTTTTACAAATTTCCATAAAATTTAGGTCAATTGTTGAGAGATTAAAGTTAATGTTACGCTTGCATGATTTCATTAGATTGATTAAAATTTACCAGGTTTTTATGTTCCTAAAAACAAAAAAAAGTCTTATGGCAAATTTTTGATAAGCACCACCTGCATTGAATATCAGTAGCAGAGCAAATGTAAAACATTTTGAAAAAGGAGTCGAAATACAACTTTGATGTGAGATTTTGAATCAATTGTCATTATAAAATATTAAAAATCGGATGCTTTGATCAGGAACGGTTATATATGGCTTCAAGGTTTTTCTCATACGACAAGCCTTTAATAATGGTCTGATTCACTTTAGTTTTAATAGAGTTTTTTCGTAGGCCAAATGACGTCAGAATATTTAAAAAATTGCGACCGCAGGATTGAATATGAATAAAATTTTAAACGGACAACAAGCGGATAGACAAACTTCGATATTTCTGCAGAGACTACCTCAAGTTTTTCAAATATTTGTAACGTGTACAACTACTCATCGGCAGAAATTCTTTTATTGACTGACTGTATATTCGTTAGTGCGACTTTCCGTAAGACAATTTGAAACTTTACGTGGGGTGCGGGTTCGAAAAGTGTTTGTTTGTAGGCTATTTTTAAATTACATAATATAAACATGTCTTTATATTGATGGTGTAATTCGAAATCAGAATTGTTAAATATTTCTGTAAAGCAACCGATCACTCGTTCTGCAACAGATATAAATTTTGCTAATTATTTCAAAATTGAAGCTATCTCTTCGTCCGATCGGCTAACGTATAGTCGAGTCGTTAAGACGTGCGGCACAAGCTCTGCAGACTTAGGCGCGGTCCCTGGTTCGCTAGACTTCATAGAAGTTTAATTTGCCTTTATTTATGTGATATTCGCTACTGCCGTGCGAACATAGAAATTACGGAGCTTTCAAATAAACTTTTTTCTCATTTATTTTTTATTAAATTTTTAGCCTCTTTTGAATCTTACTTTAGCCCATCAAAGGTGTTTTGCAATAGATAGATGGACGCAAAGTCCACACTATACTAAAAACTTCCCAGCCGAGCTTTCCCAATTGTATAGAGAAATTAAAAATGTGTGTGGCCGTGATGGAAGACGACGCGTTCATTATTAATCGCTTTACCCGAGCCCGTGGCGCTCGGCTCCCTTCTCATCTTATTAGAATTCAACACAAAAGAATAACTTACGTGGGGCTGTGGGGGGTGTATATATCGCAGACTACGAACTTTTTCTCACATTATTCTCGCATTCGAAATGTTTACTAAAGCAAAATTTCATATTTGTGCCATCAACCCATACCATCAACGATACGATCCTTTTTGTCTTGCGTCACATAAACTAGCTTGATAAGGAAAACTGTACACTCAGTCCCGTCTTAAAATCCCAATATAAAATTACTTTATTCTGAAGTAAAGTATGTCGCAGTGTGTCTTTTTTTTTTTTAATTATTCACGTACTGTAACCTTTCATAGGCCTTTGAAGTAGTTACATATATTTTTGTGTTTATGCAAACCTTGGTGTGGATAGGAATTAAAAAAATCCCGTTTAGAGGAAAATTCATTGAATTTTCGTATGATGTTTGGATGCAAAAGGAGAAATGACAGTGATATTAAGTAATATTCAATACGAAGCACTTTAATGAGAAACTACACAAATATTTGCTCATAAATTGACGAGCACAGGCGAACGATGCAAACGTATCAATAGATACACAACTATACACTATGGACCTGGACAAGGGCATACAATAATAACGAGTTGTTAAACTAGATGACTGTAGGGCAAAAATATATATATATA